CTTGAGCTCAGGAGGTCGAGGTTGCAGTGAGCCATGATTGCACCATTGCACTCCAGCCTGGGTGACACAGTGAGATCCTGTCTCAAAAAAAAAAAAAAAAAAAAAAAAAAATCAACCTATAGAAAAGTTGAAAGACTAGAACGATGACCATTCTTACGTCCTTCACTTGGACTCATGAATTGCTAATGTTTTGCTGTATTTGCTTTATGCTTTAAGCTCGTCTGCAAACATTCATTCCTTTTTTCTGAACCATGGGAATGTTCTAGACATCATGAATGGTATATATTTTTTTAAATGACATTTTCTAGTTGATTATGCCTGGTATAGAGAAATGATGTTGGTTTTTATGTTGACGTTTAACCTGGCAATTTTGTTGTTACAAGGCAAAACATTTTTTTTCCTTTCTTTTCTTTTTTTTGAGACGGAGTTTTGCTCTTGTTGCCCAGGCTGGAGTGCAGTGGCTTGACCTTGGCTCACAGAAACCTCTGCCTTCAGGGTTCAAGTGATTCTCCTGCCTCAGCCTCCGGAGTAGCTGGGATTACAGGTACCCACCATCATACCCGGCTATTTTTAAAAAAATTTTTGGTAGAGATGGGGTTTCACCATGTTGGTCAGGCTGGTCTCAAACTCCTGACCTCCAGTGATCCTCCTGCCATGGCCTCCCAAAGTGTTGGGATTACAGGTGTGAGCCACCACACGCGGCCAAAACATTTTTTGTTTGTTTGTTTTTAAACTACAACCACAATTAGAATTACATTTTATATCATGATCCTATATCTTTACTCTCTGCAATTCACTTGATATTTCTATTTTATTCTTTTTAATTTTTTTATATGTGCATTTCAGACTCTAAATTGATTTCAGGACCCACACATGGGTCTCAGTTCATGGTTTGAAAACTACTGCTGAAGCGGGGACTGGGGACCTGCGGTCTGGGGTCCCGCAGGCGGTACTCCCAGTTATAGGCCCTGGCTGTGCTCCATGCCTTCCTCCGGCAGGCGCCTGCAGCCCTGGCCAACTGAACACAGGTGCCCAGGGGTCAACAAACATTCACGGTATTTGTGTCATTCAAACCTCTCACAGACTGCCCTCCCCAGGGCTGGATTCTGAGCAGGGTCACACCTGGGCTCCCTGATGGAGTGTGTGACACTAGGCTGGATGCCACTTCTCTCAGGGCCCTCTTTCCCATGCACGGGAGTCGGGCAGGGAGGGCATTTCTCAAAACCCTTCAGGCTTGGACTTCCTGTCTCTCCAGCATCATTATTTGCTCTTTCTTCAGGGTTTAGGGGAGTGAGTAGGTGTGGCATTGGGGTGGGGGAACCGAGGTGGGGCCTCGCCTTTGAGTTCTGCCCTCTACCCCGCCCAGCTCTACCTGCATCTGAGGTGGCGGGGGCTGGGATGCTTTCCTCTCACTGAAAGCGTGAACAATGTTATGGCTGGTTTATTTTTTCCTCGCTGGTGTGTGTTCTATTTTCAGTAAGTTTTAATTGAAATGTGGATTCGGGTAGATTGTGGGAGATGGAACACTCCCAGGTGCCCCAGTGACTAGACGGCCAGATTGCTGTCTGCCTCCTTTCTCTGAAGCTTGGAGACCCAGCCTCTGGCCTTGTGCAGCTCTAGCCTGTGGACTCTGGGAGTAGTGGGCCCAAGGCATGGTGGCTGGGTGGTGGTTAGGGCCCAGGAACGGCAGGCAGGAGGCCCAGGCCGTTAGTCCTCCATGCCCAGCAGGCTCCACTGATTTTGGGTGGGTCTCTTCTCTACCCAGGCCTCGGCCTCCACATTTTTCAAGTAGGGATGATAATTGTTAGGCCTCTGAGCCCAAGCTAAGCCATCATATCGCCAGTAACCTGCGTGTATACATCCAGATGGTCTGAAGCAACTGGAGAGCCACAGAAGTGAAAATAGCTTAACTGATGGCATTCCACCATTGTGATTTGTTTCTGCCCCACCCTAACTGATTGATGTACTTAGTAATCTCCCCCACCATTAAGAAGGTTCCTTATCATCTCCCCCACCCTTAAGAAGGTTCTAATATCCCTCACCCTTAAGAAGTTTCCTTGTAATTCTCCCGGCCCTTGCGAATGTACTTGGTGAACTTTACCCCCTGCCCCTAAAACATTGCTCTTAACTTCACAGCCTATCCTAAAACTTATAAGAACTATGATAATCCACCACCCTTTGCTGACTCTCTTTTTGGACTCAGCCCGCCTGCACCCAGGTGAAATAAACAGCCATGTTGCTCACACAAAGCCTGTTTGGTGATCTCTTCACACGGACACGCGTGAGACAATAATCCTGTTTTCTGGTTGCGGTGAGGGGCTTAGAGGTACTTTATAACATGATGTCTCTCTACATTACTTTGTGTATTTAAAAAAAATCTTAGGCCGGGCACGGTGGCTCGTGCCTGTAATTCCAGCACTTTGGGAGGCCGAGGCGTGTGGATCACGAGGTCAGGAGATCGAGACCATCCTGGCTAACATGGTGAAACCCCGTCTCTACTAAAAAATACAAAAAATTAGCTGGGTGTGGTGGCGGGCGCCTGTAGTCCCAGCTTCTTGGGAGGCTGGGAGAAGAGAATGGTGTGAACCCGGGAACCAGAGCTTGCAGTGAGCCTAGATTGCGCCACAGCACTCCAGCCTGGGCGACAGAGCAAGACTCCGTCTCAAAAAAAAAAAAAAAAATCTTAATACAGCCAGATGTGGTGGCTCATGCCTGTCATCCCAGGATGTTGGGAGACTGAAGTGGGAGGATTGCTTGAGCCCAGGAGTTTGAGACCAGCTTGAGCAATACAGGGTTAGGGAGCCATTAGTGATCAGTGAGCTGTGATCTATTGCACCACTGCACTCCAGCCTGGGAGACAGGGCAAGATCCTGTCTCCAAAATATATATATATATAAAATAATTTTAACATATATTTAACATATATATTAAAAATTATGTTAAGATATATGTAGCTTGACATATAAGACACACGAGATATTATGTTAAGATATATAAGATATAGGCTGGGCATGGTGGCTCATGCCTATAATCTCAGCACTTTGGGAGGCCAAGGCAGGCAGATCACCTGAGGTTAGGAGTTCGAGACAAGCCTGGCCAACATGGTGAAACCCTGTCTCTATTAAAAATACAAAAAGTAGCCAGGCGTGATGGTGGGTACCTGTAATCCCAGCTACTCGGGAGGCTGAGGCAGGAGAATTGTTTGAAGCCAGGAGGCGGAGGTTGCAGTGATCTGAGATTGTCCCTCTGCACTCCAGCCTGGGTGACAAGAGCGAGACTCTGTCTCCCAAAAATATATAGACTAATAAATTGCTAATAATTAATATATTTATATATAGAAATCTTATATAGCTCTATATCTTACAGATATCTTTTTTTTTTTTGAGATGGAGTCTCACTCCGTCACCCAGGCTTGAGTACAGTGGCGTGATCTCGTCTCACTGCAACCTCCGCCTCCTGGGTATAAGCGATTCTCCTGCCTCAGCCTCCTGAGTAGCTGGGACTACAAGCACATGCCACCACGCCTGGCTATTTTTTTTTAGTAGAGACAGGGTTTCACCATGTTAGCCAGGATGGTCTCAATCTCCTGACCTCGTGATTTACCCGTCTCAGCCTCCCAAAGTGCAGGGTTTACAGGTATGAGCCACCGTGCCCGGCCGAAATATCTCTTATAGCTATATCTTATAGCTAGCTCTTATAGCTATATCTTATAGCTATAAGACATAAAGATACGTAATATATATATAAAAGAAATATACATATATCTTAACGTAATTTTTAATTATTTTCTTACATATCTTCTTTTAGATGTAGCCCTGAGTATAATTTTGTTTCTACTGACACTTTAAAAAATGACTTTTCCTGGCATGTATACACCATGGAATACTATGCAGCCATAAAAAAGGATGAGTTCATGTCCAGGGACATGGATGAAGCTGGAAACCATCATTCTAAGCAAACTATCACAAAGACAGAAAACCAAACACCGCATGTTCTCACTCATAGGTGGGAGTTGAACAATGAGAACACATGGACACAGGGTGGGGAACAACACACACCGGGGCCTGTCAGCGGGTGGGGGGTTGGGCGAGGGATAGCATTAGGAGAAATACCTAATGTAAATGACAAGTTGATGGGTGCAGCAAACCAACATGGCACATGTATACCTATGTAACAAACCTGCACTTTGTGCACATATTTCCTAGTATAATAAAAAAAAAAAGAAAGAAAAAAAAGAAGTTGACTGAAATCCACCAAAACCAAGATGGCGATGAAAGTGACCTCTGGTGGTCCCCACTGCTCATTACATGCTCATTATAATGCATTAGCATGGTAAAAGACACTCACCAGCACGATGACAGTTTACAAATGCCATGGCGTCCAGAAGTTACCCTATATAGTTTTAAAAGGGGAGGGACCTTCATTTCTGGAAATTGTCCTCCCTTTTCCAAAACCTCATGAATAATCCACCCCCTGTTTAGCATGTATGTATACTCAGTCAAGTAGCCTGTGTTGCTGCTCTGCCTATGTAGTAGCCATTCTTTTGTAACTTTACTTCTCTAGTAAACTTGCTTTCACTCTAAAAAAAAAAAAAAAAAAAAAAAAAAGACATGTCCTGACAGCTTGTTGCTACTATACAGGAAATAAATAGTTTTTTTGGTTGTTTTTTCGTTTTTTTTTTTTTTTCCCACATGAATTAAGCATTTTATTTAATTATCAAGGACCACCTTAAATATTACTTTAAAAAATTCAGTCCTATATTCAAAATAGGTATCCTGATAACTTCCAGAACATTATTTGGAACACCGTTTCCCCAATTAAGATAAATCCATTGCCGAATGCTGAACAGACTTTGCCCATTACCACTTTGGATTTCTTGATAGTCTTATGTTTCCATCATCCATCGTAATGTGTTCAGCTCAGCTTCCTAGAAACATTTGAACAACGGTTTAGAAAAGTTCGCCCAATAATCCGGCACCCTCCAGGTTTTTAGCAGTGAATAATGTTACTTGTGCAAGTCAGAATCTGATACCAATTAAATGGTGACAGCTTTGCCAATAAACAAGAATATGCTCTTCCATGGCTAGGAAGGTGTTTTTTCGTTTTTTAGACAGGGTCTCACTCTGTCAACCAGGCTGGAGTGCAGTGGCACGATCAGGGCTCACTGCAGCCTCGACCTCCCAGACTCAAGCGATCCTCCCACCTGCGTCTCCTGAGTAGCTGGGATTACAGGTGCCACCACCACTCCCAGCTAATCTTTGTATTCTTTGTAGGGATGGGGTTTCACCATGTTGCCCAGGCTGGTTGCAAACTCCTGGGCTCAAGAGATCCACCCGCCTCGGCCTAGATTTTTGTATATTAATTTTTTATCTGGAGAAGTTGCTACCTTTTCTTAGTAATCTAATTAATTATATGGAGGGTTTGTGCGCGTGTGTGGTTTTTTCCCGTGGTTTTTCTGTGTAGACTAATAGTTCTTGAAGAGGTGTACTGCCCCCTAGGGAGAGATTTGGACATTTGCAGGGGAGTTTTATTAGGCCTGTGTTTATTGTGTTGTTAGGCCCAAGAATTTACACATCAAAATGAACATTTTATTTTAAGATATTTTTCTTTTATTTACCTCATATTTACATAACTTACAATAAAAGCACTATATTGCCGGGTGCGGTGGCTCACGCCTGTAATCCCAGCACTTTGGGAGGCTGAGGCCGGTGGATCAAGAGGTCAGCAGATCGAGACCATCCTGGCTAACACGGTGAAACCCCGTCTCTACTGAAAATACAAAAAAAAAAAAAAGCCGGGCGTGGTGGCGGGCGCCTGTAGTCCCAGCTACTCAGGAGGCTGAGGTAGGAGAATGGCGTGAACCCGGGAGGCGGAGCTTGCAAAGTGAGCTGAGATGGCGCCACTGCACTCCAGCCTGGGCGACAAAGTGAGACTTTGTCTCAAAAAAACAAAACAAAACAAAACAAAAGCACTATATTGGCTTTTTGAAAATATATGTGTGGAGGTGTTATATTACCTAAGCATTTCATTTCAGGATGGAGAGAGTGGCATTGATTTGTTACAGAAAGGGAAGTTGGATCTGATAGGGTTCTAAACTTCTGAGATTTTGAAAAAATTCTTCCTCTATTTCCAATTATTAGATTTCTGTATCTTTTCTTGTCTTGGTGTGCTCTCAAGTTTTGGACAATTCTGAACAGAAGTAATGATGATTGGCATATCTCATCTTGCTCCTAACTTTAAGCAAAATGCTGTCAAATGCTGTCACCGCTTTCTAAGATTTTCTTTAAAATCACTAATGGATGTTGAATTTTAATAAACGTCTTTCCCACTGCCTCTGAAATGCTCATATTTCTCTTGATGTAATGTACGTCATTGACGGATCTTCCTGTCTTATTTATGTAGTTTTGCTGTTTTTCTAATGCTAAGCCCCTCTGAAATTTCTGGAATAAACGCACTTCCGTCCTGATAGATTCTCCTTTTTACATGTCACCGCATTTTGTCTGCTAGCATTTTGTGTAGGATTTTTGTTTCCATCTCGGTTCCTGAGACAGGCACATCATCTTCCCTGTGGGGTCCTTGAGGGGTTTGAGTGTCAAAGTCATGCTGGCCTCACAAGGGGCGTTGGGAGATCGCGCTCCGGGGTTGCTCCGCTGAGTCCGCGTGTGTGCAGGATGCGAGGTGCGGGGCGCGCCCCCTGGCTGCCGCGGGTCGCATGAGCCGAATGAAAGGGGCGGGGAGCGCCGGTCCAGGGCCGTGGTGAGCGATGCGCCAGGTGGCGCCAGGTGATGCCGGTGCTGAGCGGGCACTGCAGCCTTCCGTGGGCCTGGACATGTGTGCAACCCAGCTTCAGAGACGGGGTGGCCAGGACTCAGTCACCCAGCCGACCCGTAACGGCGGCTTCCCGAGTCTCGGGGCCGGCAAGGTTCTGAATCTTCATCTCTAGGAGCACAATGGGGATAATCTGCCTGTCTGTCAGGGAAATTTTGTGTGTGATCTTGTGTCAAAGCACAATTCGGACCTTCCAGAGAACCCGTCCGCATTCCGGCCTCAGCATTCCTGTTTTCCTGTCTCTTGTAAGCCCTTGACAAATGGCAACTAGGGGCAGGGAATTCAGAATTAATGACACTCAGTAGTCCAGAATGAGAGCTCGCATCACGGAGGTCTGTGTGGAAGAAGCACCCTTGTTTATTGATTCATTTTTGTGCATTATTTCATTATTGTTGGTTTATTCCACAAATATTGATTGGGTACTGTGGGGGGCATGATAACGGCCCCCCAAAAAGTTGCCCATACCCTACTGAATACCTGGAACCTGTGACTGTTTCACCATGTTACATGGCAAAGGGAAGTAAGGTTGGAGGTAGAATGAAGGTTGCTCATCAGCTGACTTTAAGATAGGAAGAGAATCCCAGGTTATCTAGGTAGGCCCAGTGTAGTTACAGGGTCCTTGGAAGTGGAAGGAGGAGGCAGGAGAGTCAGAGAGTGATGTGGCTGTGGAAGCAAGGCACGGAGAGGTGCCACATGATCGGTTTTGAAGATGGAGGAAGGGGATCTCTGCAAGCTGGAAAAGGCAAAGAAATGGATCCTTTCCTCGCACCTCCAGTAAGGAGTGCAGTTGGCTGGTAGAACTGTAGGGTAACAGATGGGTGTGCTTTTAAGCCAAGCTTGTGGGATTTGTTACAGCAGCAATAGGGAACTAGCACAGTATCCTAACACAGGGGTCCCCAACCCCCGGGGCCAATGACTGGTATTGATTGTGGCCTGTTAGGAACCGGGCTGTACAGAGGAAGGTGAGCAAAGCTTCATTTGTATTTATAGCTGCTCCCCATCGCGTGCACTCCCACCTCAGCTCCGCCTCCTGTCAGATCAACCACAGCATTAGATTCTCATAGTAGCATGAACCCTATTGTGAACTGCGCATGCGAGGGATCTAGGTTGTGCGCTCCTTATGAGAATCTACTGCCTGATAATCTATCACTGTCTCCCATCCCCCTCCATGGGACTGTCTAGTTGCAGAAAAACAAGCTCAGGGTTTCCACTGATTTTACATTATGGTGAGTTGTATAATTATTTCATTATATATTACCGTGTAGTAATAATAGAAATAAAGTGCACAGTAAATGTAATGCACTTGAATCTTCCCCAAACCATCCCCCACATTGGTCTGTGGAAATACTGTCTTCCACAAAACCAGTCCTTGGTGCCAAAAAGGTTGGGGACTACTATCCTAACAGACACAGTCCACACCACTGGGACAGATGGCACTCATCCACTCATCCACTCACCCCTAAAGCATTTAGGAGTATTCATTATGGCCTGCTCAGAAAATAGACCAGCAAGGGACAAGTGGCTGTGGCTACTGAAGGTCCACGGCAAGGGCTGCAGAAAGGTCACGGAGTGCCACCTCCTCCTGTTTCCTTCAACCTCTCAGAGCTGCCAGTAAGCCTGCAGAATGACAGTGCCCTCCTATGTGGTTTACAAAGGATTTACATGGCCCTGGCATGGAACATCGCCATGGAAAGTGTATTAGTCCATTTTCACACTCCTATAAAGAATACTACCTGAGACTGAGTAATTATAAAGGAAAGAGGTTTATTTGATTCACAGTTCTTCAGGTTTAACAGGAAGCATGGCCAGGAGGCCTCAGGAAACAAGCATGACAGAAGGCAAAGGGAAAGCAGGCACCTTCACAGGCAGCAGGAGGGAGTGTGTGCGAGAACAAGGAAGTGCCGCGCTTTAAAACCATCACCTCTCGTGAGAACTCACTATCACGACAAGAACGTGGGGGAAACCGGCCCCATGATCCAGTCACCTCCTGCCTGTCCAATCCTACGTGTCCGTCCCCTGACATGTGGGAATTACAATTCAAGATGAGACCTGGGTGGGGAAACAGAGCCAAATCACAGCAGAAAGAGCGGCTCAGAGAGGTGAGACGACATGCTCAAGTTTCCGGAGTGCGAGTGATTGGACTTGCCACGGGTTCCCTCTGCGTGAATCTGTGACAGCACTGATGTAAATCAGACATGGTCTCTCCCTGTGGGAGTAGCCAGTCTACTTGGTGAGAAACAAGGGATGAAACAGGACACAGCAGGTGACTTAAGTGCTATGGTCGGAATGGAATGTTTATGTTTCCCCGGAATTCTTTTTTTTTTTTTTTTTTGAGACGGAGTCTCGCTCTGTCGCCCAGGCTGGAGTGCAGTGGCCGGATCTCGGCTCACTGCAAGCTCCGCCTCTCGGGTTCACACCATTCTCCTGCCCCAGCCTTCTGAGTAACTGGGACTACAGGCGCCCGCCACCTCGCCCGGCTAATTTTTTGTATTTTTTAGTAGAGACGGGGTTTCACTGTGTTAGCCAGGATGGTCTCCATCTCCTGACCTCGTGATCCGCCCGTCTTGGCCTCCCAAAAGTGCTGGGATTACAGACTTGAGCCACCGCGCAGGGCTGTTTCCCTGGAATTCTTACGTTGAAATCCTAGCCCTGAAGGTGACGAGGTGAATCTGGGCCGCTGTAAAAGAGGCCGTGGGAGCTCGCTTGCCCCTTCCACCATGCAGGGACACAGCAAGAAGGCAGTGAGGGATGGGCCCTTGCCAGACACCAAACCTGCCGGGACCTTGACCTTAGACTTCCCAGCCTCCAGAACTTCCAGAGATGTTGCTTGTAAGACACTCAGTTTATGGTATTTTTGTTACAGCAGCCTGAACAGACTAAAATACTAGCAGGGCAAGGCTGCTGTAGCAGAGTAGACAAATCTCAGAGGCTCAAAAATCATAAACGTTTTTGTCTATATTGTCATGTCCATAATTTTTTTTTAAAGCATAAAAATTTATTTTGTCTTCCTCAGTAGTCTTAACTGAGTATTCCAGGTTGGTCCCCGGGCTGCTCTCAGGAACTCAGGAATCCTCTTGTTTCTCTGCCTTCCTCTAGGCCAGTGGTTCTCTACTAGGGTGAATTTGCCCACCAGGGTACGTTTGGCAACATCTGAAGATACTTTGGGTGTCATGACTCGGGTTGTGACACTGGTATCTAGTGAGTGGAGGACACGGATGCTGCTGAATGTTTCACAATGCACGGGACTGCCCCCCACAACAAAGAACTGTCCTGCCCCAAACGTCAGTAGTTGAGAAACTTCCACTTGGGCCTGGAGTGTTGTCCTCACTTGCAAAGTCAGAGCTGGGTCCCAGGCCCAGCCATGTTCCAGCAAATGGGAAGGAGGAAGAGCGCATAGTCAGGCCCAGGTGCCACAGTGATCCTCCTCATCCATTCCCCCCCATCCATGAGGGCCTAGTCACAGGGCCACATCTAACTGCAGGGGACAGGGTGCTGGGAAATGGAGTCTAGGTGAGTGCCCAGGAGGAAGGGGGCAGCCGACTCAGGTGGGCAGCTGGCAGCTTCCCCTATGGGCATCCTAACTGGTGCAAGAGACATCAGGATGGTGGTGATTGGAGGACATTTTGGTAACCAGTTCAGAGCTTGTGCAAAATGCAGAAGCAGGAGAGAGCTGGACAAAGCGCAGGCACTGACAGCTGGATGGAGGCCAACAGTGGGAGGGAGGGGACAGTGAGTAGCACCTGGGTGGCAGGAGCCTGAAATGCAGGACTGAGGAGTCTGGTCTTTGTCTTGAAGGCAGGGAAGGACCTTTGGCCAGTCTCCTGACTTTCTGCCCAGGCTCTTTCCTCCCAAGGTGAGTCTCTTGTGTCCATCTTACATAGTTGGGACATTGCTGACACACTTCTGCCTGCCCATAGGCCGTTCCTTGATTTTCTATGTTGCCAAGATGACTGGCAGCTGCTGGAGGTCAGGACCACAGCCTGGTTCTCAGAGTCCCAGGCACCAAGTTCCCACTCACCCCTGCAAACTCTCTCTCTTTTTGAGATGGAGTCTTGCTCTGTCGCCCAGGCTGGAGTGCAGTGGCACGATCTTGGCTCACTGCAACCTCTGCCTCCCAGGTTCAAGCGATTCTCCTGGCTCAGCCTCCCAAATAGCTGAGATTACAGGCATGAGCCACTACGGCCAGCTAATTTTTGTATTCTTAGTAGAGACGGGGTTTCACCATATTGGCCAGGCTGCTCTCGAACCCTTGACCTCATGATCTGCCCGCCTTGGCCTCCCAAAGTGCTAGGATTACAGGCGTGAGCCTTCTCACCTGGCCCCACACTCTTAACCACTGTCCACCTCAGTCTTACATCCCCCACCTCCCCAACACAATTCTACACACCTGCCTCCACGGATTCCCCAACAATGGTCTCCATGGTCCCATCAGCGTTTCTCCACTTCGGACTCCGTGGAACTCCCTGCTGGGTTGTCCAAGGCCCACTGACCCTAAGTTCCAGACCCTGGCAAGGAGCCTGTCTCTGACCCATGGGGGTGAGTATTGGCGGGCAGTACCCAACCAGGCCATTAGCTTTGGTTGGGGTGAGTTCCTGGAGGGGACCACAATGGTGTGCTGTCTGGGAACGCCATGGCCCTGGATTAGTCACTGTCTGACCAGGCCTCTGGTTTCCACTTTGCACGGTGAGGATTTCTACCTCACGGTGTACTGGGGCAGTAGTGGGAGGAAGGCCGCCACATGCGCCTCAGTTGCATGTTGGCTGACTTCTGGCGGGAGGGGGAAGCGGGATCCTCCTGACCACTGTCAGCCCAGCTCCACTCACTTGTAGGGGAAACAGTGGAAATGGCAACTGACATTTGTAGGCACAAGGCAGGGGACGCTGATCCTGGCTCCCACGCTCCCAGGTCTCCCTTGCTTCACTGCTCACGAGGACCCGAGTGTGGGAACGAGGTGCCTGGGAAGGCTTGCAGAGAGGGCAGTGGAGCTGGGTTTTCGAGGATGAACAGTCTAGCCGAGCGGTCCTCAGGCCTAGCCGCACATTCACATCACCGGAGGAACTTTAAAAATCCTTAACATGTCTGGGGCCACCCCAGACTAATCAAATAGAAACTTCGGGAGATGGAGCCAGGATGTAGGTATTTTCCACACCCCCCACCCCAGCTGATTTCAGTGTGCAGCTGGGGTTCAGGTGCACAGAGCTGGGCAGGACGTACGGTACCCAGGGCGGGAAAGCTGCTTTCTCAGCATGGACACCGTCATGGGTGGAGGCCCGGGGCTGAAGCCGTCCACCCGGCCTCAGGAGACCCGGTGTCCCCGGTCACAGCTGAGCGTGGGGCTGTGCAGCGCCTTCCACATGAGCAGCATCTCATAGGGCGCGAAGCGGTGTACCAGCAGCAGCTCGCGGTACATGCAGGGGTCGAAGGAGGACTGCTGCGCGCCAGGCAGCTGCACGCCGTAGGGCCGGATGCCCTCGTGGCCGCTGGGCGCCAGGCCGGCGCGCTCCAGACACATGCCCATGTAGGCGTCGTCGATGGGCAAGAGCGGGGTGTGGAGGGCGGCCGCGCGCAGGGCCCGGGCCGTGAGGCTGGACAGGAGGAAGCCGCCGCCGCTGCAGTATACCGGGTAAGCGGACCCGGGGAAGAGCTGCGGGGGCACGAAGTACTTGCTCCAGCTGTCGCGGATGGGCACGGAGCCCTCCATGAGCTGGCCGGTGAACAGGTGGCGGCCCGGTGGCTGCGCCTGCAGGAAGCGGACTACGTTGGCGGTGTGCACGAACACGTCGTCGTCGCCACTGAGCAGGAAGCGCGCGTGCGGACAGCGCGCAGCCAGCCAGTCGAGCAGGTGCAGGTGCTTGAGCGTGAGGTTGAGGAAGGTGTCCGCGAAGGACCACTGCAGCACGTCGCCGTGCTCGCGCGCCTCCAGCGCCACCAGCTCCGCCAGCCGCTCGGCGCGCGCTTCGTCCTCGGGACCGGGGGTACCCAGTAGGAAGAGGCGGCGCACTGGCCACTCGCCGTAGCTGCGCTCCTGCCCCCAAGTGCGCCGGATGAGCTCGCGTCGCTCGTAGTGCGCAGGCGCCGACTTCACGGCCAGTAGCAGAAAGACACCGCGGCGGCTGGCGCACTTGGCCGGTGCGTCCCAAAGCAGCGGGAAGTGGCGACAGTGGCGGTACCGCAGGAAGTCCTGGATGCGCGCGGGCAGCTGCTCGAAGTTGGCCGTGGCGTTCGCCGAGGCATTGGCCACGCACGGGGGCCCGGGGGTGAGCGCCAAGGGAGCGTCGGTGGGACCCTCTGGCGTCTCCTCCTGCTGGGACCTCTCCTCCAGCAGGGACCTCTCCTCCCGCGGGGACCTTGGAGCCTGGAGGAACCACTGCTGCAGTGCCAAGAAACTCACGCCCACCAGGAGGCAGGCCAGAGTCTTGGGAGTCAGGGACCTGCGGCAGGGAAAAGCCATCTGTGGGGGAAACCGAGTCAGAGGTGAGCCGGAAGTCGTCTCTGACACCGGCGGGACGCCACCCGTGCCCCGTCACTTCTCTCCCAGAACCCAGCTCCAGCCCCTTCTCAACTCTGCTGTTAAGTGGTAAAAAGGAACCAAAATCCAAGATTACACTGATGGTCTCTGGTCTCCCACACTCTGGACCGTTCCTGTGACCTTCAGATCTATGTCTCTCTTTGCCTCCTGACAACACCGCCCCACAACCCGTCACGTAGGCCCAGTGGACTCATCGTCTGAGTCTCCATTCTTCCCCTGAACCCATACCCTGCTATTCCCACCTCCGTTCACCTGACTACTCCAGCCAGAAACCCCAGCCTTCTGCCTTGTCCGTCTCAGCTGCTACCTGCTCTCTGCATCTTGTTGATTCTGCACCCTACCTCCCTCTCACTTATTGCCTCTTCTCCACCTCTGTCCAGCCCGTATCCTCTCTAATCTCTTCCCTTCGTTGCCACCCGAGTCAAGGAAGGATAAGGTGATAGCACTGGACTCAGACCCAAAGCCAAATTCTGCCTTCCCCACTTCCATCTGCACCGTCTGAACAGTCAATTCCGATGGCTGGGTCTGAGTGTTCTCATCTGTGACACAGGGTTAGTGAATTCCTACTGCAGGGCTGTTGTGAGCATGAAATGAGCATGAAGTGGCCAGTGACTGGGTGACACAGGTGATATGACCTCATGGGTGAGATGACCTCCACAGCATCCTCTAGCTCTGCCTCCTCATTCTACCTGCTGGTATTATTTGCTGTTCCCAAACATTCACTCTCAGGCCCTCTCCTGTATGTAGCCTGCCTAGGTGCACCTCAGGTCTGGCCTTCATGAAGACCCCCAGGATGAATCCCAGGTCAGAACAATCTTTCTCGTATTTAACTGTGCCCTGCTAAAAATTCAGTCACTTAAGGTTCTGCATCTCAGACCATTGGCTATTTATTTATTTATTTGAGACAGGGTCTTACTGTGTCACTCAGGCTGGAGTACAGTGACACCATCATGACTCACTGCAACCTTGACCACCTAGGCTTAAGCAGTCCTCCCACTTCAGCTTTTGGAGTAGTTGAGGCGCTGTACGGGAGTGCGCCACTACACCTGGGTAATTTGTGTGTGTGTGTGTGTGTGTGTGTGTGTATGTGTGTGTGTAGACAGGTTCCCACTATATTGCTCCGTCTGGTCTTGAACTCCTGGGTTCAAGTGATCCTCCCACCTCAGCCCCCCAAAGTGCTGGGATTACAGGCATGAGCCACTGTGCCTTGCTCCCACTCTCTCCTTAAAACAGTCGCCATACTCTCCTGACTTTCCTCCTTTCTTTTTGACCATGTTTCTCAGTTCCCTTTGCTTAGTTCCCCCTCTCTAATAACAACCTCCTCCCCCTTCTCCCCTTCCTTCCCCTCCTCCCCCTCCTCCCCTCCTCCCCTCCTCCTTTCCTCCCCCTCCTCCCTCCTCCCTCCTCCTCCTTCTCCTCCTCCACCTCCACTTCTTCTTCCTATTTCTTCCTTTCTTCTTCTTCTTCTTCTTTTTTTTTTTTTGAGTCACGGTCTCACTGGGTAACCCAGGCTGGAATGCAGTGGTGTGATCGTGGCTCACTGCAGCCTGCACTTCCCAGGCTCAGGTGATCCTCCCACCTCAGCCTCCCAAATTGCTGGGACCACAGGCCTGTGTCACAGTGCTTGGCTAATTTTTTCTATTTGTTGTAGAAACAGAGTCTTGCTATGTTGTCCAGGCTGCTCTCAAACTCTTGGACTCAAGTGATCCTCCTGCCTTGGCTTCCCAAAGTGCTGGGATTACAGGTGTGAGCCACCGCACCTGACCTCTCTAATAATAACCTTTAATAGTGGAAGGCCTCTAGGGCTCTGTCTTAGACACTCATTTCACCTTTGTCCAAGATGATCTCCTTCACTGTTAGGACCTCCGAGCTTCAGAGCCACACATCCATCCAGCGCCCTGACTTAACAGCTCCATATGGCTGTCCACAGCTACCTTGGATGCGACTTGAACTCTCATCTTCCTCCCCCGAGCTGTCCCGGAGTGCTGCCATCCACTGGGTTGTTCAAACCAAAAACCTTGCTTGACTCCCTCCTTCCGCTCATTTCCCCACCCAAGCCCTGACGATTCTCTCTTCTGCAATTTTCATCAACATGCTTCCATTCTCTCTATCAACAGGCTGATCCAAACTTAACATCCCCGCCTCACATGAAGTAGCATCCTGCCTGGCGCCTCTACACGCTGTCTTGTTCTCGGCTGACCTCTCCCCTCCCTTTGAATTATGTAGATTTATGTGCCACTCCTCATGCTCTTTTCCTTAGCTTCCCTGTGATCCATCTGGCCTTTCCCTCAGCCCAGTGAGACCCTCAGACTGCCAGACCTCTTCCTACCTCGGAGCTTTTCCTTGTGCTGTTCCCCTTCATAGATTGACTTCTCCCTCCCTCCGTCTGCTTAAGAACTCAGCCTCTGGGTCTGCTTGACAAGGCATATTCTTGGGGAAGCTTGAATGAAGCTCAGAGGAGACCAGGTACCCTGTTAGACATTCTCAGCATATGATTTGTTTAAAGGTTATCTTCCCTCCTAGGCTGTAAGCATTTTAAGGGTAGGGATCACAGCGGTGTTCACTGTTGTATCACCAGCGCCCTGCATAGGGTAGGAGGTTAGGACAGCCGAGTAGTAGGAAATGCTGGCTGCCTGAATTCAAATTCCACTGCCACTGCTTTCTAGTGTCATGATTTTGAGCATGTTGGGACTTAAGCTCTCAAATACTTGCCTCTGAAGAGTTACTGTGAAGACCAAATGATAATGTGTGTAAAGAATTTACTATGGTCCTTGGCACATAGTATTCAGTAAATATTATTTGTTAGGATTATCAAGGTACTGATAAATATTTGCTCAAAGACTGCTTTTCCAAGAGTATGTGCTCAATAAATACTTCCAGGTAGTTTGCACATAGGTGTTATCAGATTGAACCCTACTGCTTGTATATTACAGTCTGTACACAATATCGAGCCCAGAGTGGGCACAAAGCAGGCATTCAGCGAAACAATGGAGCAATTAACTACAAATGCAAGTGTGAGAACCTTGCAAAGGTGTGGATGTAATCACCGAGTGCTGATTAGAAATACCAGAGTATTATATAGTATATTGCTCTTTATTTCTTCCTGCTTCTGTGTTAGAGGCACTGTGAGAAGAGGGTCTGTAAGATAAGCTATGTCTTTTTTACCTTCAACTATCTACTCACTGCATAGTCCTGTGCCTGGCACATTTGGGGAATGCAGTATTTTTTTTTTTCAATGAATGAAAGAATAAAAAAACGAATGAAAACAGAATTTGGAGTCTGAATAACTGGCTTTGAGCCCCAGTTTCTTTCCTGAGTTAATCTCCTAGGTTTCAATGTCCTCATTTGAAAAACTGAGAAAGTTAACACTCATTTTTCAATGAAATAAGGAAAGAATTCTGTTTATGTTAAAGTGCTACACAAATGCTAGTTAAAAAAATTAAGCATCCCTCATCATTTCTGGAAAGAAAAATAATCTCCTTCTTAATGTAACAATAAATCTTGTTTCAAAGAAATTTGCATTTACTCTGATAAAACGGATAGAAGATCTTGGATCACAGCCAACTTCTGATGTAAAGGAAAAGGTGTTGGGCCAGGCGCTGTTCCCGAGGGCGGTGCTGGCTCGCTCAGCTCTGTTCTTGGATGCTGCACTGTGTAGCCCGAGGGCTTTGACTTGCTGTGAAGTGTTGGACATTTATCTCTATGATTCTTTTTGCTGGATCCCTTCGTTTCTCAAAGCAGTCTTCAGGCATCCTGGAGCCCATGCACCTTAAACTTTCCCAGCCTCTGCTGGCCCTGATCCCTTGTCTCTCAGGACTCAGCTCAAATACCACCTCCTCCAGGTCACCTCATGGTAAGTCCAGGTCAACAGAACCTGTCTCCTTGTTGATGTCACAGCTGTCGAGTAGCCAATTTGGTAAAGAGGACAGATCTGCCACTTACTCCACCCCTTTGAACCTCAGGTTGCTTGTTGGTGAGACTTTGGACAACTCCTTTATCTCAGTGTCTCAGAATTATGAGTTAATTCATGTAAGGCATTCAGAGCCTGGCATGTAGTAAGCACCGGAATAACATTAGCAGTTGGCTAACACAGGAGATCATCTTTTTATGGATGAAGTCTAGCCTTCTCACACAGTGTGGTATAAAGTTCCTCTTTATCAACTTTATAAAATTCCTCTGTGATCTTCTAACTGCAGGCAGTTCTCACTCTGTTTATTGCTCCACACATATTAACACATCCTGCCTTTGCAATACTATTCACTCTGCCTAGAATTCCCCCTTCTTTTTCTTTTTCTCGGCTCACTGCAACCTCAGGCTTCCGGGTTCAAGTGATTCTCCTGCCTCAGCCTCCCAAGTAGCTGGCATTACAGGTGTCCACCATCATGCCCAGCGAATTTTTGTATTTTTAGTAGAGATGGGGTTTTACCATGTTGGCCAGACAGGTCTCAAACTCCTGACCTAAGGTGATCCACTCGCCATGGCCTCTCAAAGTGCTGGGATTACAGGCGTGAGGCATCTCGCCCAGCCAGGAATTGCACCCCTTGTTTTCCCAGGAACTACTTTGGTCATTTCCTCCTCTGGTTTGATGCTGAGAGATGGATGGCTGGAACATAGATTCTTGGGCCACCCACCCACCCCCTACTATCCCAGGGCATTCCTGGAGGAATATTAGTATAGCAGAATATTTGTATAGCAAGAAAGGCAAAGAAACGTTTTATTAGCTATTAGGGCCTTGGCCCCAACCCTCAGCATGAAGCCCTGAGCCCTGGGGTCTGCACTGGACCTGTGCAGTAGGGGCAATTCTGTCCTCATTCCTCTCCGCTTGGCCTCTCCCGTTTCTTGCTTGGCACTCTGATGAGAGGGGAATGCAAAGAAGGAAAAATGCACCTCCTTCCCAATAGGAAGAAGCCCAGGCCCCCATCTTACCTGTAGTGTTGGAGAGAGAAGAAATAGACAGGAGCCATCCCCAGCCTGAGACTAGCCTTTAACCCCTATATTTCACACACTGAGGTTCCACCCCAGGCCTGTGGCTTCATTCAGTCCTCTTGAATCTGACCAATCCATGACATCACCCCTCCTCCTTAGGGGTAGGGTGAAGAGGGGGAGGGCAGCTACAGGCTTCCTTAGCCACCGGTGACTGCCTGCTTCCTCTTTAAACTCAAATGTCCTTAGAGTGTGGGTCAAATGAATCTCCTTGGAGGAGGATGTTCTCAGTGCAGTATTGTACCTGTGCTCCTGGA